CTTAGGGGCCTGCGCGCGGTCCCCTCTCGTCGCCCGTCGCGGCACTTTCGGGGACCTGCGCGGCTCCCTAGCACGTCACCCTTCAGGGCACAATGGGGGCCGCGCCCTTCCCCTCCCCTCCGTCCTACTTTCCGCTGCAGCAGCCCCAGCAGCTGCAGCCCCTGAAACGGCCACCACAGCAGCAGCAGCTCCAGGAGCCGCCGCCCCAGCAGCAGCCCCTGGGGCCGCCCCAGTAGCAGCAGCCCCGGGAGCAGCCGCCCCAGCAGCTGCTGCCTCTCGAGCGGCCACCCCAGCAGCAGCAGCTTGTGGAGCAGCCGCCCCAGCAGCAGCTGCCTCTGAAGCGGCCACCCCAGCAGCAGCAGCCCCTGGAGTCGCTGCTACTGCAGCAGCCACCCCACCAGCAGCAGCACGTGGAGCAGCAGCAGCTCCAGGAGCCGCCGCCCCAGCAGCAGCCCCTGGGGCCGCCCCAGTAGCAGCAGCCCCGGGAGCAGCCGCCCCAGCAGCTGCTGCCTCTCGAGCGGCCACCCCAGCAGCAGCAGCTTGTGGAGCAGCCGCCCCAGCAGCAGCTGCCTCTGAAGCGGCCACCCCAGCAGCAGCAGCCCCTGGAGTCGCTGCTACTGCAGCAGCCACCCCACCAGCAGCAGCACGTGGAGCAGCAGCAGCTCCAGGAGCCGCCGCCCCAGCAGCAGCCCCTGGGGCCGCCCCAATAGCAGCAGCCCCGGGAGCAGCCGCCCCAGCAGTTGCTGCCTCTGGAGCGGCCACCCCAGCAGCAGCAGCTTGTGGAGCAGCCGCCCCAGCAGCAGCAGCCCCGGGAGCAGCCGCCCCAGCAGCAGCAGCCCCGGGAGCAGCCGCCCCAGCAGCAGCCACTGGAGCAGCCGCCCCGACAGCAGCTGCCTCTGGAGCGGCCACCCCAGCAGCAGTTGCCTCTGGAGCGGCCACCCTAGCAGCAGCAGCCCCTGGAGCCGCCCCAGCAGCAACTCCCTCTGGAGCGGCCACCCCAGCAGCAGCAGCCCCTGGAGCCGCCCCAGCAGCAGCAGCCCAGGGAGCAGCCGCCCCAGCCGCAGCCCCTGGAGGAGCCACAGCAGCAGCAGCAGCCCCGGGAGTAGCAGCCCCTGGAGCAGCAGCAGCAGCGGCAGCCCTGGGAGCAGCCGCCCCAGCAGCAGCCCCTGGAGCCGCCCCAGCGGCAGCAGCCCCGGGAGCAGGTGCCCCAGCAGCAGCAGCCCCGGGACCAGCCGCCCCAGCCGCAGCCACTGGAGCAGCCGCCCCAGCAGCAGCCGCCTCTGGGGCGGCCACCCAAGCTGCAGCAGCCCCTGGAGCAGCAGCAGCCGCCCCAGCAGCAGCCCCTGGAGGAGCCACCGCAGCAGCAGCAGCAGCTCCAGGAGCAGCCGCCCCAGCATCAGCCCCTGGAGCCGCCCCAGCAGCAGCCCCTGGAGCAGCAGCCCCAGCAGCAGCAGCCACTGGAGCAGCCGCACCAACAGCAGCCGCCCCTCGCCCCTACAGCAGCCGCTCATGGACCAGGTGCAGCCGTGGGGGGTGAGTGTTGGGGTGCTCGTTGTGGGGGTGTCGGTTGTGCGTGTCGTCCCCTCCTCCTCCTCCTCCTTCGTCTCCCACTGCTACAGCTCTCGCTGAGGGGGGTGGTTGTGTGGGAGTCTTGGGTTTAGGGTTTAAGGGGGGTGGGTGGGAGTGGAGCTAGCGGTATAGCAGCGGGTGTGTGTCGGGGGGGTGGGACTGTTTGCGGGAGGTTGAGTGGAGGTTGCCAGTCTGTTGTCCGCAGCACCTGTAGTCCGGGCGCTTAGTCCGGTAGCCCAGTGAATTTGTTGCTGCGCCAGTCGCCCGAGGGTCCGTTGCCCGTCTGCCGCTACTTGAGCCGCGGGGCCTGTTACCCCTGTAGTCCGGGCGCTTAGTCCGGTAGCCACTGTGCTCGCCACTCCTGTTGCCCGTGTGTCTGCAGCTTCAGCCGCCGCCTTCTATCTCCTCTCCTCTCACTCTCCCTCCTCCTCTTCACTTGCCCGTTGTGACCACCACTAGCTTTGCTGATAATTGTGCACTTTAACTATTGCTTCTTGAACTTGTGCTCAGAATGCGTGGTGACATTGTGATCCACCCTGAGCTTGTACTGCTTTGCCTGCTCTGCTGATTACACCCCACTTTGGCTATGGGGGTGTGTCAGAATATATTTGCTGTCTAGCCTGCAGTGGGGTACTCTGTAATGAGTACAACCCAATTTAGGGCATTGTACTTGTATCCCAACTCTTGCTAGTGACACCACTTCTCTTTCAAAAATCTCTCGATACTTTCCTAACCCTCTCGAACTTGATCACCTAGGCACCTACACTATGGCTTCTAAGCCTACCCTTGCTTAAGATTTTGATAGGTGTGTGGTGTTGTTGCTGTGATAGGCTCCAGCGAGGCTAAACACTTCGGCGCGCACCTGATATCTGTGCAGTGCATGCGAAAAAACGCCAAGTGTGTGGGTGGGGTCTCAGGAATCACGGGAAGGTAAGATTGTACATGCGTACCCTACCACCCCCCCCCCCCCCCCCCCCCCACACGCGGTCAACTCCGTTTCAGTGTGACTCACGTCACTATACTGATTCGTCAGTGTTTCTTGTAAAGAAACACGCAAAATGGTCAGTGTGACAAGGTAGGATATACTGAAATTTCAGTGCAAAATTGAAGCATATGCTGAATTTTCAGGGAAAACGAAAATCACAGCTACAAAATCAGCGTAATCAGCGTGTTTTACGCTGATATGTGAGGGCCTGGCTTGGAGGCTAGAAGGTTTACGAAGCAGCCACAACGGGATTTCAAGCAGCTCCCAGCAGTTGCATGGCGCGCTGAGTCGTAGGACCGCGACATGCAGGAAAATGTTCGATGCATGGCGTTTGATTCATTCGCCAGTGAATGCCACCGCGAACTCCATGGCACTTCTCTTGTTCACGCCTACTCGTCCCAGGATTCACGCGATGGCGCGAAGGGAGGTTGAATCCCACGCTCTCGTTTACGAGTGCGAAGGTTGTTTCTTGGGTTCTTATGCGCCAATTTTTCCAGAGCCGTCTGAGAAGAGCAGACATGGCTGATGAGGCTGTTTATGTAGAGGAAAGTAACAGCACAGTGTTTGATCCGAACGAAAACGGCAGGAAGGTGTTTTTCAAGTTTCAGGCGGATCCAATCGCGCGTTCTCCGTCCCTTTCGTCGAAGCCATCGAGTCCATGGCGTTCCTTGGTTTGCCCTCCGAGTGCAACTCCAGGGACGCCCTGTGACTGTTGCAAACCGCTGAAGTTTGGAGAGGCATTTCCCCTTGGCCTAAATTCAGGGTAACATGTTTTTAAACGTTTTCTAGAGTGAGCTTTTCCCCGCATGATTCTGATTCTTGCCGTTTGGTTGAATTGCAGGGGAGGACCAGACGGTCTGGTATATGTTCCCAGCACATACACCGAAGCAAGTTCATGTCCGATTCTCGTGGCGCTGCATACAGAAGAGGGAGATGCGAAGGAAGCCCTCGCGCCGTTCGTGCAGTATGCGGAGCAGCATCAGCTCCTCTTGGTGGCTCCAGACGCTCGAGATGTCCTGTGGGATTGCTCCTTCGAAGGGGCAAACATGGATGCTACTTTCATTGATAAGTACGCTCTGCCACTCGTGATGGTATTTAGTGGAGTGCTTCCATTTGCACGTTCACATTCGCTGGATTCAATTTCTTCTGATTCATTTGTGTTGCAGGGCAATGGAGACTGCATTTAATCGCTTCTCAATAGACCCTGAGAGCGTGTGCCTCTCAGGGTTTTCTGAAGGAGGAACAATGGCTATGGCTCTGGGACTGCGAAATAGTCAGCTGTTTAGGTATGTGCTTTGTGGCACAGAACGTTCTTGTGCACACTTTTGTTCATTAGGTATGTGCTCTGTGGCACAGAACGTTCTTGTGCACATTTTTTTTCTGCTAACGTCTATTCCCGCTTCTTCCTCCCTACATGGCAGTCATGTCATGGCGTTCACTCCTGGAATGATAGACTTGCCATGCTACCAAGACGGCCCTGACATCTTTATATCACATGGGACGTCTGACCCGGATCGGGGCATCGATGTGTGTAGTCAAGAGCTTGTACCTAGGCTCCGGAGGTGTGGTTATCATCTGAAGTTTGTGGAGTACGAAGGATCGGACGTGACACCACCTCCTGAAGTAGTTTCTGAAGCGGTGGCTTGGTTTAGAAGGAAGAGGGTAGGATCATGGATCGGCTTAGATTCACTTTGAATTGGTACATAGAAGGTGCTACCCATGAAGGTGTTATGTGCAGAGAGCTTGAGGTATGCCTTCAACGTACCAGTTTACCACATGGTACTAGACACTAAAAATAAGTCAATTGAGAATTTAAGGTACCTTTTGTTAGCTTTAACTGCATCAGTAGTATACTGTTGTTAACGTTAGCCTGCTCGCCCGTGATTACTGGTACCGTAGTCAACAATGGTGCTTGCAACATTTAGTATATTAGTAAACATCTAATAACATATTTTTTAACATAACATTTCAAATCCTAATTTTAATATACTCGATTTTTTTCCTATCGAAGAATGTAAATTTAAAATTACTCAAGTGTTGTTGTAGTAGGGTATGATTCTTTTTATATTACAAGAGTGTTTTGAAGGAAATTTACTGTCGCCATTTTTAATGAAAAGGAAGCTGACGTGAGTCCTTGCGTGGCGTACCACCATCGACCTTCGTCCAATACGAGGTTCTTCGATACAAAACGGGACGTATGACATAACAGTCTGCATGAAATGAATGCGCTGCTTAAATGGATATGATTTTATCTCTGCTCGACTGCATCCTCTCCCCTCCACTCGCTGTTCGGAGAGGGTTTTCACCCCCTCCCTCCATTTCTCCCTTCTCTCGCCTCCTTGTATCTCGACGCTAGTTCGTCGCCGTTCTCTCCGCAAAGGCATCCACGTGTCACACAGAGGCACTGTGCTTGGTCCCCCTTCCCTGTCGTTGTCGAGCCGCAACCATGGTCAGTAATGGCGGAGCATGCGAGTGATGGCTGCGTATCCTTGATTTTACTGAAGTCGCGCGATAGGGGGATGCCATACAGATTCTAATAGCGTACGATCTCTTGTGCACGGAGGTTTTCCGAATCCCCCATCATATCTTATCTTGGGGGTGGTTGCCGTGTCTCCGCGATATTGTCACAGGTGAACGTGCCAAAGACGAAGAAGACGTACTGCGGCGGCAAGTGCAAGAAGCACACCACCCACAAGGTTACCCAGTACAAGAAGGGCAAGGACAGCGTCTACGCTCAAGGTACGGGACGCCAATTATTCGTCACAGCGCATGCGTGTTCTTCGGTCGGCTCCTTACTGAACGCGGTAGCGGTAGCCTGTGGTTTCATGCTTTCGGACTTTCAGATTGGAGCACGATCATGTAGTGTTGCTGGTTCGGGTGAAACCATGGCAGAGGGAGCGGATTAGGGTAACCTTGCGTTTCTGAGGGCCGTGTTTTGTACTTGCGCTGGTTGACTTTCGTGCTCGGGTGGTTGAATCTCAAATTTCCTTTCTCGTTCGTTTCCTTAGCTAACCCTAATCGTACTGCCTGGTGACATGGCAGGAAAGAGGCGTTACGACAGGAAGCAGAGCGGATATGGTGGACAGACCAAGCCCGTCTTCCACAAGAAGGTCAGAATTGGTTTTTTCTTCTGTTGTTTCTCTTATTATTTTTATTCCTCCCGTCGGCACCGTTAATGCTGTGATGAAACACGACTTTTTTATGCGAAGATGACTGGGACTAATTCCCGATCCAGGTAACCTAGCTTCGGAGGGAAAGAAAGGGAAACATGAAGTGTTGGGAACCAGAGATGTGTTTTTTTTGCGGAGACGGCGAGGCGGCATGGCGAGGTAGTAACTTAGATGGGATAGTTTTCCAGCTGCTCAGTTTGGCTAGATCGATAAGCCCCTTGGGAAGGCTCAACGCGAAGCTGGTTAGGGAAGCGAAGGAGAAGGGGGGAAGGGCAAGGAAGGCCACGGTGTGGTGGGGAGCCTCTTGGTCGCTGGAGTCCCTCTATTGCTGATGTGCTTGTCCTAGGAAACTGCGGGACGAGGTTTTGTCGAACCTACAGCCTTTGTTTCCCCCACCCTGCGCCTTCCGCTTGGCGTTCGAGCCCATGTAGCAGTTTAAACTTTGCCTTACCCATGCCGCGTCATTTTTGCTTCTTCTCCCCTCCGTGTTCACCCCACCCACTTTCCACCCTGCCTCTTCCACTTTCTTTCCGGGCCTCGATCTCCCCTACGTTTTTTCATCGATCTCACCGCTTCCCCTCGTCTCCCGCGCGAATTTGCGCTGTTCCTTGGGGCATCGTTTTCTCCCTCCCCGCCAGGCCAAGACGACGAAGAAGATCGTGCTGAGGCTGCAGTGCCAGTCGTGCAAGCACATGCACCAGACGCCCATCAAGGTACTGGCTGGCTGGGGTGGGTGTTAAGGGAAGGGGTGCGGGAAGAGCTGGAAATGGAGGAGAGGTTGGGATTTGTAGGTAGTGTACATCCGATTTTTCTCTCAAGGTAAGGCCTGGAGAGATCTGGGACTTGGCCTTGACAAGGGTGCGCGAGCGGGGGCGAGGGTAGTGCAAATTGGGCAGTTAGGGGGTGGGGTAGGGATGGGGGGGGCGTGCTTGGAATTGAGTGTGAAATGCAGAGATAGATGAAGCGAGCGTAGCATTATGGATTAGAACGAGCAGCTGGGTTAGGTCGCAGTTTCACCAGTGCGCGTCCGCAACGCATCGCTACGACGTAGATTCGGAGTAACTGGAGGGTAGGGCCTTCGTCACGACAGGGCAAGGAAAGAAGCAGGTTGCCTTGCTTTGCATTGTTCACGCCCCAGTGGATTTGTGTGGATTCTCACCGTAATGGGCATTTGGGAAGTGCAGCGGGTGTGTATGATACGATATGGCACCAGTGATGGGGAGTGTATTGCACCGCCTCTTTTGGTGTGGTTGTTTTGCCTTGTTTGTATGGATAGTGCGGTGATGCATGGGGTGGATGGTGCAAGGCCTTACACGACAGCGAGTAATACGCAGGGTAGGCAGGGCAGGGAGGGGAGTCTTAGGGGAGCCTGATAGGCTAAGAAGAAAGGGAGAGTGTCACAGCATAGTGGATCAGGCTATGTGCGTCGTTCGAGATTTTTCTCCCGAGGCGTTAGTCTAGACTTTCGTTGCTTATCTCTCTGCTCTATTGCCTGTCCCCCCTTACGTTCATCATCATCATCTCTGCTAATCCTCACTGCCACACCGTCGTCTCTTCCTCTGTCCCGCCCCCCCCTGCCTTCCTTTTATCCTCTCGCCCTTCTTGCTCCATCTTTGTCACTTTTTATCTGCATCCCTCGTTCTGACGCTGTGTCTTCCCTGCACCAACCCATGTCTTCCCTCCAATCATAGCCCTATCCACTAAATATTTTTTGCTGCATTTTCCCTTTTGGTATCCCATTTTCTCCCTCTTCGGTTCTGTTTCCTGTTTGCTTTTCTCCTGTGCCTTCCAGCGTTGCAAGCACTTCGAGATTGGCGGAGACAAGAAGGGCAAGTCCACCTCCCTGTTCTAAGCGCCTCGTCTGCAATCCCAAGAACTGCACGTGTGCAGTGTATGGCGTAGAGGGGAGAAGGGTAGTGCTCGGGCCACCATGGCTGGGTGTTGCAAGTGTGTCTACCTTTGGGCTGAAGGAGTGGAGGTGGTTTTTTGGTGTTCTCATTGGTCCCTACGAGCTGCGATTCTTGGGCTTTGACGTGTTGTGGTTGTGTCCGCATAGCCTACTGCTGCATGCCCTTGCCTGTTGTTGCCTGTTGAAGCAATGAGATAATTCTGTGGAGTAACACATTTCCGAAGCGAAGCTGCTTGTGATGCAGCAATGGCAACGGCGAAGTGCTAGATGCTCTTCGCCAACTATATAGCAGGGGGTGGAGGCCATTTAGCCTCCACCCACGTCTTCGTTTGAAATCTCAAATGTCTTATTTCCCACCCACCCACCCTAGCAAAAATTGCATGTTGCAACTTGTAATGTACCGTAATACCCCGGATAGAAGCGCACCTGCGCTTATAATAAAACATTGTTTTTTGGGGGGGTGCGCTTATAATTGAGTCAGATTTATAAGCGCATGCGCTTATATAAAGGGAAAAATGAAAATCAATTTTGAACACACCATTGTGAAGCTCTCAATAAGGCGAATTCAACCGACCATGCACCAAGTGGGATCGTGCATGGTTTTCAGGCAGAAACCGCAGCGGTTCGGTTTCCCACCGCACAATGTTGTCTGGAAACATCGAATGTGACAGCCGTGACGAGGATGTTGTCGTGCGGCCCAATCAGAGTCGCATGCGCTGCGTGGCATGTGCATTCGGGCAGAACCATCTCGAAGGTTCAGCAAGATTCCCTGCCAGCGCAGCGTAGATGCTGCCACGCAGGCGCCTCTACGGGAGTGGGCGGGGGTTTCCTGCCTGTCATCGACGAGGAACCCAAGCCGCCACGCAGCAGGGGTCCCCGTCGTTGCCCATTTCTTCACCCTCGTCTCTAATTTTTTCATTCAGTTTCCTGTCTAGCCCGCCTGGCAGGCGAAGCCATGGCGGAATTTAGTGGGACTCACATCCTCTTCAAGAAGAAACCACGCCGCACATGGCGACTTACCGAGGACGGGTGGTATACCCGTGAGCCACCAGCGCCTCCAGTGCCACCGGATCCCCCTGCACCCCCTGCTCCTCCTGCTCCCCCTGCACCCCCTGCTCCACCCGCTCTTCCCGCACCTCCCGCTCCTCCGAATCCGCCTGCTTTTGCTACGGCAGGTGCTCACCAACGGCCCGTGCTCCAACTGTATTTACCAGCCACGTTCGACGAATGGTTGGCTGAAGCGGACACACCCAAGGCCCCCGATGCACGCATCCAAGCTCCAGCGACTGCACCACGGTGGGGACAACCAGAAGTCTGCGCGTGGGATGAGTCGGCTGTGGGCGCCAACGATGATGTGGCTACCGACAAACATGACAGCGGCGCCGGCGAAGCTGGAGGCGACAGTGAAGCTGGTGGCGACGGTGCAGCGGGCGACGAGGAAGACGTGTTCCCCGACCGTGACGAGGACGAGGACGGTGTGGAGTCCTAGTGGCGTGACGCACCACGCGCGAAGATGCCGGTACCGACGTATCCGCCCCTTAACAAAAAACGCCCCCACCCGTCTACCGAGAATCGAGATGCCCGCCCCCCCTCCCCCAGGCACAAGCTGAATCAACATAAGCGGTAGTGCTACACCGCCCAGGAGAAGTTGAGGTGGCTCGTGCGGCTCGAGCTTGCGGCTTCGGTGAGCGAAGTGGCGCGGGAGTCAGGCATACACCGAAAATGTCTGACAGAATGGAAAGCCCAAGCGGAGGCGCTCAAGGCTGCACACGGAGCACGGATGCGACTTCACGGGCGCGGGAGGTCGTCTTGGTACCGCCCCATGGAGTTAAAGGTGTACGCGCAACTCCTCGACTGGCGACGCCGCGGAGTTGCGGTTTCGGTCGGCCGGCTGCAAGAGTGGTCCAAAGAAGTGATGAAGGTTCTATACCCGGACGTCAAGTGGAAAGGCAGTCAACGGTGGACAGAGCGGTTCCGCAGGCGGTGGAACCTCAGCGTGCGCATGAAAACAAAGGTGGCGCAGAAAACACAGGAGCGTAAGTGGGTCGTTTACTGCTGATTTTGGTTTATCCCGATTATGCTTAGTTTTTTTTTCGCATGTCTCCTGTGCGTCATACTAATTTGGTTTACTATATGTACTTTTCTCCCTGTTCCGCAGACGTGGCTGAGCAGTGCAAGGATTTTTGGCAGTACGTACGTGACGCCCGGAACGAATACGACATTGACAACCGCTACTATCGGAACATTATAGCTTATGCTGTTGTGTAGGCTATAGTGGGGTATCCCATAGGGGGTACAACCAATTAGGGTTTCATATTTGTACTCACTTCGCTTCATAGTTCATTATTCTCGTTCTAATCTTCTCATGGTATCGAGCAGGTTCACCCTTGGGAACTGTGCTTAGGGCCCACCACATCGAGTTTTTTTTTCCTGCCCGAAGCGCGCTCAGCCCGAGTCGCGCTCCGGGCCCTCACTTCGTCAAGCCGCCCTAGCGGCCCTTCACTGCGGCCCCGCCGCCTGTCTGAGCGGCCTCGCCGCCCTTTTCTGCGGCCCCGCCGCCTCTCTCGTTGCGGCCCCGCCGCCCTTCACGGCGGCCCCGCCACCCGTCTCAGCGGCCCCGCCGCCCGTCTTCGCGGCCCCGCCGCCTCTCTCCCTGCGGCCCCGCCGCCTCTCACTGCGGCCCCGCCGCCCGTCTCAGCGGCCCCGCCGCCCGTCTTCGCGGCCCCGCCGCCTCTCTCGACGCGGCCCCGCCGCCTCTCTAGCTGCGACCCCGCCGCCTCTCCCTGCGGCCCTGCCGCCCGTCTCAGCGGCCCCGCCGCCCGTCTTCGCGGCCCCGCCGCCTCTCTCGCTGCGACCCTGCCGCCTCTCACTGCGGCCCCGCCGCCAGTCTCAGCGGCCCCGCCGCCCGTCTTCGCGGCCCCGCCGCCTCTCACTTCGGCCCCGCCGCCCATCTCTGCGGCCCCGCCGCCCGTCTCCGCGGCCCCGCAGCCTCTCTAGCTGCGGCCCCGTCGCCTCTCACTGCGGCCCCGCCGCCCATCTCTGCGGCCCCGCCGCCCCTCTCGCTGCGGCCCCGAGCCCTACCAGCGGCCCTACGGCCCTACACCGCCCGCGCCACCCGAGCTGCCCGACCCGCCCGAGCCGCCCGAGCCGCCCGAGCTGCCCGACCTGCCTGAGCCGCCCGAGCCGCCTGAGCTGCTGAGGAGCCGAGCCGCCCAACCCGCCCGAGCCGCCCGAGCCGCCCGAGTCGCCCGAGCCCCCTGAGCCGCTGAGGAGCCGAGCCGCCCGACCCGCCCGAGCCGCCCGAGCCGCCTGAGCCGCTGTGGAGCCGAGCCGCCCGAGCTGCAGTTGCTGCTGAGCCGTCCGAGCAGCCGCGTTGCTGTGCTGCTGAGCTACCCGATCCGCCCTGTCTGGTGAGAGCAGCGCTCCTGTCACTGCACTGCCCCTGTCCTACAGGTAGTACTGCTAGGCTACTATCGTCATGGCTACCCCTAGTGTCCTCGCTTTTGACGCTGAGGGTCGGGCCATTGACTTTGAGGTCTGGGTAGACGACCTGCAGCTGTTCTTACAGTGCGATAGGGCAGACGGCCTCTCTCTCTTTGACGTTACCTCTGGCGCTTCCCCTGCCCCTGCTGCTGATGCTGACGCCACTGTTCGCTCCCAGTGGACCACGCGCGACGCTGCTGCACGTCTTACTGTGCGTCGCCACCTCCCTACCTCCGAGCGTGCGCACTTTAGTCAGTACAAGAGTGCTCAGACCTTCTACGACGCTGTAGTCGCGCGCTACTCCTCCCCTGCCACTGCTGCACTGAGCCGTCTCATGCTACCGTACCTCTTCCCTGACCTTGCTGCCTTTCCCACCGTGGCTGACCTCATTACACACCTCCGCACTAGTGACACTCGCTACCGCGCTGCACTCCCTGCTGACTTCTGCGCCAAGAACCCCCCCCCCCATGTACATCACTCTGTACTTCCTAGTCACTCGCCTTCCTGACTCCCTTCGAGTAGTCAGGGACCACTTTCTCTCAGTCAGTCCCACCACACTCACTGTCGATCTCCTCGAGAAAGCCCTCTTAGCAGCGGAGAAGAGTGTAGTCGCTGTAGGAGCCTCTCGAGGTGACCCGCACACCCCCATCTTTGAGGGGTGTTCCCCCTCCCCCCTGCTGCCCTCTGTTGCCTCTGCTGCTACGGCCGACCTCCTTGGTCTTGAGTCGGTCGGTGCGGCGTCTGCCCCTAGCGGGAGACGCCGCCCTGGCAAGGGCAAGGGGGGCAAGGGAGCTGGAGGTGCGGGCGGTGGAGGTGGAGGTGGAGGCGGTGGGGGTAGTGGGGGTGGCGGTGGGAGTGGAGGTGCGGGTGGGGGGGTCGGTGGCGGCGGTGGAGGCGGAGGCGGCGGCGGCGGTGGCGGTGGGAGCGGAGGTGGCGGAGGAGGCGGCGGTGGAGGCGGCGGTGGAGGCGGCGGTGGAGGCGGCGGCAGTAGCGGAGGCGGCGGAGGCGGTGGGGGTGGTGGTGGAGCTGGTCGCGGGCCTTCGCAGAGGAGTGGCTCCGGTAGTGGCGCGCGCCAGCAGCAGCAGCGCGGTCGTGAGACCCTGTCCCCTCAGCAGCTCCGTGAGTGGTACGCTGCACGCCAGCGGGGTGGGGGTTTTGGTCCGTGCACCTACGTCCTGCGCACCGGCGACTGTGCGGGTGAACAGTGTGGGGGTCCGCACCCCACCCAGCGCTGCTTTGGCCGCCTGACGGACGCGTGGCGTCACCAGTTCCCGGAGGCCTCAGAGATTCCTCGCTGGGGCGAGCTGTCTAGGGCGGGTGTTGCCATCTTTGATCTTGACTTTGATGCTATTCTCTCCGCCATGTATGCTGTGTCTCATAGTGATGAGGGTGACTGCTACCGCTGTTTCCCGCCCGATCCGGGCATTGAGGCTGCTGCCCTAGGTGCTTGCGACGCTGCT